CCTTGCAAAAAAAAAAAAAAAAAGTTATACAGTAGCTTATTACCTTAAGTTACACTACTGCATGATGGAAGGTTGAAACAAGGATTATAAGACTGGTATAATTTATACTTTGAAAAGTTTATACTTCTTTGAAGTATAGATCACTCCTGAGTTTCACCCATTATGTTGGCTTAAAGCTTGCTTACTATTGGGGAAATAAACCTATCACCTCACATAGTACTTTTAGACACTTGGTAAGTTGCTTTCAAAGCTGTCCATCCACCCAGTTTGGAAAACCTTGAGTTTGACTAGCCCTGTATGTCCATTTTTGTCTTAAGTTTTGAGTGTTTTATCAGAATTCTAATGGTCTTCCTAGGTAAAATGAATGTTTACAAACAAGCTAAGGAAAGTGCTCCTCTATTGTAATAGTCAGAAGTGCTTAAAACTAAAAGGCTATACACAACACCTTATGTATTTAAACTTATCGCTGAGATAATATGACGCACAAACTTTTAAAGGTAACATTTTTTTCAAATAATGCCTTGAGCTTAAAAGAGGAGTTGCTGCTGCTGCTTTAGAAATGTGTTTATTTTAAACAGCTTGGAACAATATAAAAGAAAGGAAGGATCAAGTTGTCGTTTTGTTTTGTTTTTTTTGCAGCCTCTATACAAAGTGGTCAAGTTCACTGGCTTAATGTGCTTAAGTAATCCTACTCATTCCTGCTTTGTACTGTATTAGGCCCTGGCAGTTTGTGGGGCAGAACAAAATAGAGAAAATGAACTGACCTGAGTGTGCTAAATGTATATCTAATTCATTTGGTCTCTAAAAATGAAGATTCACTGAGCTTAAATAATCTGCCAGGCCAGTGTAGTTACTGCTAGGGTTGCACCAATAAAGATTTTTTTAGCCCATACCAATAGGTGATTATTAAGCAACCATACTGGCCAATACTGATCGGATATGCAGCGTGGCAGCTTGGAGAGCAGTGTTCAGCCAGTAAGTCTGGCAGGGGGGAACAGATCAAGGCCCCCAGAGTGAGGGGTGGTGGTGGGGGGGACAGGTGACTCCCACCATTGTGCATGCCCCTGTGGGGAAGCATGGGGGGCACGTGCTCCCCTGGATTTGTGCACAGGGCAAAGTTGGGCTGCTCGCTGCGGCCTCTTTCCCATGAGGGTTAGGCCAGGGCTGTGCTTGGGACAAGCTGCAGCCTGGTGGGGAGGGGTTCAGGCACTCCAAAATTCACCACTGCCTGCCCCAAGTGCAGCCCCTGTGCCAGGAAGAGGCTGGCATAGCCCCCAGGCCCAAGCAAGCAGCCTGCCCTCACCTTGCGCACAGATCCTGGGAGCATGTACCACATATGCCTCCCTGGTGGTGCATGCAGCAGCCAGGAGCTGTCCCCCTCTGCAGCCCTCAAACAAGTTGCCTGCAGCTCTGCCCCATGCCCTGCCCCACCTGGGCACTGCCTGCCCCAGCCCCACTCCCTCCCTCATCTTGGGGGCCTTTGATTTGCTCCCTGCCCCCCCCCAAACTTACTGCCAGGAGGCTGCTCTCCAAGCTCCTGGACTGCATTCCTGGCTGCATGCATGCTGCAGCTACGCACGTGCACGTAGCATCAACAACATTATTAGCCATACCAGCCAAAAAAGCTGCCTGCCAATAATGTCAATTTTCCTTTTATCGGTGCCAATATAACATGGACTGATATGCACCTCTAGTTAATTCACACTACTTTCTGTAGTTAACTATACACAAAGGAGCAATGTGGCTAGCTGTATTTGAAACGAAAAGGCCTGATTGCCTTTTAAATGTTTGCATAGCTGACTTGAGTGAAGAAACACAAACTTTATAACCTTCTGATTAGAAAATTTACGCAAGCATGTTAGCCAGGAGAGGTTTGAGTCTCATATTTGTATCCATTTATGTAAAACTATATTTTTTTTTTAACTCCAAGTGAAGTTGAAGCCATGAATACTGTTTTTTTTTTTATATACACATTTGTAATAATTATCCCTAGAAGAAACAGCATTTCCTAGACCCTCCTACTTGCCCCTATCCTCTTCATCCTGTAAGGCTTGCATGATCAATGAATGGCATCTGATGTTTTGAGACCAGGGCAAAGGGGTTTAAAATGTAATTCTAGAATAATATCTTTCTTCATTGGTTCATTATGTCACTCCTTTTGGTGGTAATAATTTACCTGGGAATAAGAATCCCTGTGCATACTACGGCTCATGCTTTCAGAAGTCTTAATCCTTAAACTTAGCATTCTTAAGTTTTATTCTTCATTTTTTTTTAAGACTGAAAAGGGAAGAAGGCTAATACTCAGCCTCTCCATCTGTTTATTTTTAACCACTTGTGCAATCTTCATTTTTCAGATCTAAACAACGTGACCCTTGGCTATCTTAATTTTCTGATTTAGTTGCTTTGGCTTGCTCAGGTTGCTTTTAGTTTTTTCTTTAACACGCTAGATCAGTCTCCTACAGCTGTTAAATGAAACTACAGTAGCCTTCATTTTAAAAAGCATATGTTCTAAAAAAATAAATCTGTCTACTGTTCTAGTAAAAAGACCCTTCCATGGGTTTGCATCACAGCAGATTATATACTTACGTGTCCTTCATTTTTTAAGAGCCAACTTGCAGCACTGAAGCATATGTAACATATAACTTATTAGCCATAATGCAAACCCTAGAACCAACTTCTAGAAGACAAATTAATTCACGTGTACCATTATCAACAGTCATTTTGGAAAACTATTGGACTTTAACTAACTTTGGTCACAAAGATTACTAGAATGTGCTCTGGCTTTAAGCAACAAGGAGACTTACATTATAATACTGTTTTACGTCAACCATTTGAATACAAATATTTTAATATTAGCTTAAGGAAAGTTAAGACCACATGCTACAATATGAAAGCAAATATCGCTTCTCTATATATTAAGTGCTTCCTGCTTCTATAGCTTAAGTCCTGAGGGGCGAACACAAAGGACTTTTGATATTACTTTTAGTATTTGAAAATTAACTTTTTACTGCACTTGTCATTTAAATATGAGAACTTAACGACAGATACTTAAATTACAGGTTGCATAATATATAGAGGTTAGTGCTATTAAAAATATGATCAATTCTTAAAAGACATGCTAAAGAGCAATTACAGGTTTTAGGTTACAGTTGCTTCAAAAATATGAACAGAAAAGGGATGTTCTCTCTTGTTTTTGCAATACAAACATTATACATACCTTATAAAAAAATTGTTAGTGAATCCAATCTGTTTTTTCCCCCGATTCTTAATATTATTTATAGTTACATGTACATGCTTGGAGTTAATACATGATGTGGAGTTAATACATTAGGTGCCTTGCACTCTAATTCTACAGAATGAATGAGGAAATTTTAGCACTAATGGTTCAGTGGTAGTATGCCTACTTCTATACAAGGGGACTTTGTTTCTTCATAACAAAGAAATCAGAATACTAGTAAAAGGAATGCTTTGTCATTTTCCTGTTCTATTAGGTAAAGATGGTATTTGGGACTGGTGGTTAATGGTCCTGCTACTTCAACTGCTGTTGCTCGTGTAAAAATCAGCTAGCATATCATTCATGGATGGATGCATACTTAGTTTTCAAGCAGCACTCATTCTAGGCTGGTATTTTCTTCCACTGAGGAATTAACACAAGTTAAACACCAAATCCCATAAAAATGCAGAGAGTTTGTCCTCTAAACTCCTTTCCAAATTCTAACTTTAGTGAATATATTCCTTTTGAAGTCTCAGATAAGCTCGATTTTTCAAGTTTTAAATGATCTATTGCACAAGTGATGAGTATTTTAGAAAATTTTTGCTCGTTAGCTGTGATTAGCCTGCTGATACAATTAAAATATTCACTTAAGAGGTAGATGGTTTCTTAAAGAGTGCACAGAGCTCAATCAACTTTGTAGTTGCAAAATAGATGTTGAATGATCCTGATTCATAGAATCAAGGCAACATTTATTTCTTTTTAAATAGGGTGTACCTGAAGCACAGCCTTCATAGTTCTTTTGTAGATGGGTGTAACACCTTTCCAGCCTCTATTACTCTAACATGCATTACTCTTGATAGATCCTGTCCCTATCCTTCCTCCGAGGCAGCATGTGTAACTTCCATTAAATCAAGGAACAGTGCATGTTAGAATATGCATTCTTCATTAATCTCATCACTTGACTGGAAATACAGGTCTATATAGTTTCTAGTATGCTGCCAACAAGGCTCTGGGTTTAGGCACCGCTTGTTAAAAATAAATATTTTTGTGGTTTTCCCTTACATGTAGCTAAAATTCTACTCTTGCATTCTCCCATATCTGACTGAAAATGCAATAAGTCTTTTGTATACTACTTCCAAAAGAAAGAGAGAGAGAACAACTATTCCACAAATCAAGCTGAATGCCCAACGTGGTCCGAAGTAAGTGTATATCTGGCTCACAAACACTGGCCCAAGTATGCGTGCCCCACTTCCAGAAGCAGTTAGCCAGCCCATATAGACACCCTGAAATAGATCAAAGTACTGAGGTTAGGAATAACAGCAATTTGACAGCTGATTGTTCTCACAAGAAACTCCTAATGACTATAGAAAAAGAAGAGAAGTTATCAGAAAAGTCATTGCTCTTCTCTTCACCATTACTAGATTAACTACTCGTGTTTTGTTTTTGTTTTTTAAGTAAAAATTAGAAGACACATTGATGATGACAGGAGATGCTGCAATACACCTTCTGTACTTGTGGAAAGTTACAGCTCCATCATATTATGCTATCTGCTGGTTCAGTACATTTCAAGTTGCAACACATGAAAACTGAAGTTAAACAGCAACCTCAGTTTATTACTTGGTTCATGACTGTAAGCCCTTACTTGTTTTGTTGACATCATGACAAATTAGAGAAGTACTTGAATATCAGACTAAATTTTAATCTCAATGGCTCAGACATATATTCACATTCATTTTTATTCCTTATGTACTTTTGTTTGACAACCCCTGCATTGATGATTTTAACACCTATCTAACTTGGCTATCATACAATGGTACCCTCCATAGCAATCCAAAGATTCATGTCAGTCCTGGGATTAGCACATTAAAGTTCTCACTTTTCAAAACTTGATCATATTTTAATGGGTAAAAGTTTTCACATAAAATGTGATTGGAAGAAAGTGCCAATCTTTTCCTCTATAATGGCACAAAACTATTAACATTAAAAAAAAATCTCTTTCCCCATGAAAGAAACATTTATTGTGTGAATGAATAGTAACACAAGGCTTTCTTTCACCATTATCTAATTATCAAAAGATATTAATACTACTTTGTAGAAGACAAGGTTACTTTTGATTCAGCAAACTAGTGCTTTGTTTCCCACCCTCACACACTACACCTAACCTGATACACCTTAAAGACAACTCATCATTTTCTGAATATCTGAGCTCCTTGAAAACAGCAAATTGAGTGCCCCAAAATGGAATCATCCACAACTAATATTCAGTTTGGAAAACCCCAGCGCACTGTACACACTAGGAATTTTCACTGGTGCTATAACCCTCAGCATTCTAGTAGCCCTTGTGGCTAATTTAACCATGAACAAAGAAGTTTCATATTTGTAGTCAGGGACACTTCAGCATAATCTCCCCTCCCTCCCCACAACCTTGGAGGAACACAGAACAAACTAAATGCTCTGGGAACAGGTTTACAGTTCTGTAATGGGTCCTCATATTCTGTCCCTCCTCTGTCTTTAGGATTATCATGTTTTATTTCGTGGTTTACATGTGTGTCTTTTTAAGGATAAAAGACATTTAATAACCCAGAGAAGTAGTTTAATTACCATATTCTCTTGCACACAATGTGTAACCTTCCCCTAACCCCCCCACAAAAACAGCACCCCAAAACTACGGTGTGCAGATTAAGCAGGGAAGTTGATATTTTACTTGGGATAGAAGCACCCTGCTTTCATTCCTGTTCCACAATACAGCAGCTGTTGTATTACTATTCAGGCAGCTGAGGGAATCAATTGACCTAATGACTCACTATTCCTCAGTCCACGGAGGTTAATGCCAGTATATACTTTATAAATGGTCTTGATGTTCCACTAATTAAGATAGCAAAGTTACGTTTAAAAGGTTATCCTGCTAGCTGCTCCTGAGCTCGCTCTCATTTCACAACTCTGGAGACTCTTTAGCTCTTCTCCAAGTCATATATCCACCCATGGAAACCAGTCTTCGAAATCAGCTAGGGTTTTAGCTTTAATTAAGCAGAAAAGGGAGTGGGGAGTCAGCTGAAGGTTAGATTCTGTCCCTGCTCTATGCAGCCCTAAGTCTGGAAAAAAATCTTCATTTCTTCATTCTGCCTTTCAAAAATACAGAGTGTACTAAATTCATGGGCATGTATGCTTAGGATATGTTGTATTTTCTTCAAGACATATCTTTTTAAGAAAAAAAAAAAAAAAAATCAGACTCCTTAGCAGTGTTGTGCTGTTCCTGTTCTCTGACTCTGAAGCAGATAATGTCAAAGCATACCTAGAAACAAAGGATGCAGGTCACATTTACAAGATGACACCCTGTACACTGGAAAGCAGCAACTATGATGACAACTCTGGAACATGCTGGATAACTAGCTGAACATAAGCTTCCAGTGCAAGGGGTTAAGAGGGCTTATGCATTTTTTGGATGGATAACTAAAACTATAAAGAAATAAACAAGGAGGCAACAAAGATTCTGTATACAGCATTGGTGAAAGGAGGACTGGCACAATATACCCAGTTTTGTAGCTATGCTCCAAAAAAGGATATTGACAAAACAGGACTGGATTACGTTAAAAAAACCCCCGCGACTCAAGGTGTGGAAAAACCTGGTCTTACCATGAAACTTCTAAGATTGCATTTAGTTAATTAAAAAGGAAAATAAAAAGATAAATATGTAATGTGATCAGTCTATAAGTAAGTACTCCATGGAAAGATTTATAACTGTAATGGGGTATTTAGGTACAGGTAAAAAGGCGTAACAAAAACAGG